AAACCAGAAAACAATAACTGTAAATTACTGGACATTTTCAATGTGTCAGGAACTTTTCATTTAAATTCTGATAACAACCCTACCACATAGGTGTTCTTATTCCTGTTTTACAATGTAATATTTACACTTATTTTCTGAGAGGTTGAAAAATTTGTCCAGGGTGTTATGGCTAGTAAGTGGCACCATCGTCCATATTCTCTACTCTATACCTGAAAGAATTAATACAGTTGTTTTAAATATATTCTGGAAAGAGAAAATACGGCTTACATGGCACCTATAAAAAGCTAAAAATAAAAATTACTTGGTCAAATCTGTTGGTATGGTTCCCTGATCACTATTTACCAATTGATCTGAGCACTCTTTAATCAAAACAGGTTTTATGCATCCAGCCTCAGAGTGTGAACTAGGAACAGCAGGTTGCATTAGCTATACTGTGGTTTAGTTCACTCATGACACTAATTAATTTTTGGCCCTATTTCCTTGCATAATAAAAAAAAATAAATATATATGCAATAAAATTGAGGTAGGTTTTCAAATAAATCACTGAAATAGATTCAACTTTACATTTAAATATTTCAGGGAAGATATTTCAGAGACTGGATATTTCTATATATTTGTCTTCACTGTAATGTCAGATATTGATAAACCCCCTTCCCAAAAAAGTCATTTTATTTTTTATTTCTTTAACAAGGGGATGTTTAGGTTTCCTCACATCTTCTTTAAACAAAAGTGAAATATTCTTTGATATGTTAGAGAGGTTTAGATAAGCCTCTATTATGGGAGCAGGATTAGAAAATAAATTATTATTAAAAAATTATAAACAAACTTTCATTTCCATAAGAACCTACTTAATGATGGCAAAAACATTACAGACAATACAAATCTTGTACTTATTTTATGCCTAAAATTGAATTTTTTATCTCTATACCCACCCAATATACTCCATCCCGTTTTTTCCATCTCAGTTAATGATGACAAATTCATTTTTCAGTTTCTCACAACACTTAAGAGTCATCCTTAATTTCTCTCTTTCTCAATATTTCGATCTGTCATTAAATTGTACTGATTTTCAAAATATGTCAAAAATCCAATCATGTTTATGGCATGTACTTTAGCAACCTGAGTATAAGCTTGGGTTACTACAATAAGACCTGTTACTCTACAGACTATTTTAGAGCCTAAATCACATAATAGCCTCCCAGTCCCAGGTACACAGGCCTTTCACCATCTGACTTCCTAGTACCTCTGTTACTTCATGTTATACTTTTTTCTTTCTAGGATACTCTTTGACTGCTAAAATGGCCCCTGGCCATTCCTGCAACTTGCTAAGTCTGTTCCCACTTCAGGACCTCGGCATGCATTGTTGCCATTGTTTGGAATGCTCTTTCTTTAGCTGTCTGCAGCAATCTCCTTCACTTTTTCAAGTCATTCTTCAAATGCCACTTTCTCAGTGAGGCCTACCCTGCTTGCCTATTTAAAAATTGCAATTCTCCCACCATTCCTCCTGTGTTTTATCTTATTCCATATCCCTTCCCTGTTGTAAATTTTTTTCCTCTGCCTTCATTCACAGCCTTCTAACATTCTTATATAATTTAGGTATTTATTTAGTTTATTACCCAACTCTTCCTACTAGAATGTGAGTTTAATGATGGCATGGATTTCTGTTTTGTTCATTACTATACCTGCAGCTTCTAGAACAGTAGGCCCACAATAGATATTTGTTGAATAAATGAAATAATTAGCCCACATCACTTATACTCAGCAAATAGACCTTATCTTCAAGGGGAGAAATGTACAAGTTGTTTGTTTCCAGTACAAGAAGTATTACACATTGGATTCCATGGAAATGGGAGCATGTGACTAGAGAGTTCAGAGGCCCTTTGAAACCCTGATATACTATGATTCCTTTCCCACTCTGAATCTTAAAAACATGATTATTTGCTCAGCAGATAAACATTCATTTTAAAAGATCCTAGAGTGTTAAACCTACAATAAGAGTTCCAAAGATGATAGTCATGATTATAGTTCTACAAGCTGCTCAGTATAGCATTTCTTCTCTCATCACTGTGCTGTTTGTCCTACTTTGAAATATACGAATGTAACTGTAAGGTAAGGGAAGCCAATTTGATTACACTCCAAATAACTATGTGATGCTCCTCTCTCTCATGTATCAATAGATTTGATTAGTATATAGTTTTTCACGTTGGTCTTTCTTTTGAAATGCATAACATCATTTGAACATCCAAGTTCAAAGCAAGAGCCCAGGATATTCATGTAATTTTTGGTAGCACAAATATAAATGTTGAAATTGTTCTGTACAACTTTAAGATCCATCCTTTGGTCATTCCTATTTTAAAGGAGCATAGACTTTTAAGGCTGCATGGTTTTAGTTATTAGATCATCTCATTTTGTGGATATGAAAACTAAAGCCCAATGATGTTAAGTGACTTGCTCAGGCACCACAGAACTCAGTAATCTTTTTGGTCAGAAAATTGTTCTAAAACTAAAGCAAGATAACTTTGAAATTGCAATTGAAAAAATAGTTCTTAATATCAGGAAATTAGCTGAATATAGCAATAATGCAATATGCAGTTCTAACCATGGTTACTATATAAGCATTAGAAATCTAAGGCCAATATAGAAAAGGATAAAATAATTGATATACAGGAAAAGAAAAACTCTCCACAAGCATTCTAATAAGAGTCACAGATCACAAAAGAGTAAGAATTTGCAGGTCACCTGAAGTGAATTGTCCCCATGGAATCCACATGAGAAGCAGAAACCACTTTACCACAGAGATGGTTCCATATTAGGCATGACTTCTGCTATTCTTTGGAGAATTAGGGCTTCTTTTATTACCTAATCTAGCCATTTTTTTTTAAAATGCCAAGAGGCATTTCTACTTAGATATGTGCACCTTGTTTTTGTACTATGAATCTATAAGAAAGTTATTATGCAAGAGGAATGTAAAAGTCTACAGTAACAATGCTTCTCTATCCTTTAACGGCTTTGTTCAAGGGATGGAGACATTTTTGTGGTGTAATGAATTCACTTGGTCTCCTGATATGTTTTCTCTGCATACTTTGGAAATCACATATTTTTCTGAGATGTGGTAGTCCTCAATGTCTTAATTTCAGCAACAGCTTCATTGTTCTAGCTTTGTTATAATTAAGATACCATAGTAACATTGATAGTTTGGGATATTTGATATTAATCTAATAGAAAATATTTTTGACCCTTTGTGTACAGCAGTGCTCTCAAATTACAAACAAAATTACGGCTAAGTCAAATTTTTAAAAATGGACTTAATGGATTCCATGAGGTAGGACCATTAGGATAACTCATGTGACTTCAAAGCTAAGATCTCTGCCAACAGCACAATTCACAACTCTCTAAGAATGAATTTTCGAGCTCCCTCTACCAGAGCTTTGTTTAACTCAGTTTCCTTTCTCCATGGTTCACTTTTATTGACTCCTCTTGTATGTGTTTATATGTTGGTGAGATACCAGAAGCCTGAGAGTAAGAGGATCTGGGCTCTGTTCTGAAAAACTAGGTCAAATCTGGTCTCCATCTGAAGCAGGTAAACTCCTGTGCAAGAACTACTATGACATTAATTGAACATAATTTTAATTGAAACGATCTGCTTTGGATTATATTTCCTTAAATGTAATAGTAATTTTTCTCTTTTCTATTTTCTTGTAATATACTCGAAAGGGCTTTTCAACTATTGTATAAAGCAGTCTTCCTTTGTAAGAAATTATGACAATTCTTTCTCCAATGTTACTTTCCCTTACACTCTACACTTTGCCCAGCATTGAATTGAGCCCTGATTTACACATCATGGTAAGCTTTTACATCCTAAATATATCGATTGTTTTGGAACTTTTAAGTATTTGGCAAATATTGAAATGTTGGGAAGATTAAGGTAATCTAAACACAAAATTAAGAGAAGACGCAACTACAACCATGCAACTACAACCATACAACTACACACACAACTACGATCAGAGAAAATAACCAAGTAAGTTGCTATTTTAAGCAATATAAGCAAATAGGGGGCAGGAAGGGATCGTTTCATAACACAAATATTTATAGACAAGATAATAATTAAAGCAGTAGTACTTTAAAAGACCTAATTAAGGTTAGTTGAACCTCTGAAATATTTTATATTTGACTTAATAGGAGTGGACCAAAGTCATTGTCTTACGACTGTATTATTTAAAGAGCTACATCTGTATCAATCGAGTGTGAGAGAATATGATGTACAGTTCAAAAGTGGGGGCACAGGAGTTAAAATAAGGAGGAACAGGCCAAAATCCTAAGGAAACATATAGGATCATCCAGAAAGAACCTTGAAGTAGAAGGTTCCAGTGATGAAAACGTGGGCCGTTAAACTGCCTGAGCTTGGTAAAATGTGAGTAGGGGGAAAGATTCATTGCGGACCATCATTTTCCACCGCCTCTCTAACGACTTTGTGAAGGGGCTGGGTGGTGCGCTGGAGCCGGCGACAAGAACTGGCGTTTCATGGTCCTAGAAAGGGTTCCATGTCCACATTCTGGTACTGCGGTCCTTTGGGGGAGCGGGTCTTTCTTATCTGTTTCCCTTCACTCTTCTGAAAAGCACAATCCGGCTAAAATCCTGGTTCACCCCAGCTCCTGAAGATAAACTGACACCGGCCAATCTCTGACCTGAAGTTGAAAACAAACTTCCAGTGTCGGTCACCGATTCCCTGGAAAATCTTAGCCCTCTCTGCCCCTTTCTTAAAGACGCCAAGCCTGGCCCTTGAGCACCCTTTGGTTTGAAACTCAAACCCGCTGCTCTCTCGCAGAGGCCCCGCGGTAGGGTCTCCCACCCCCAGCCCCGCGGGCCGCGCAAGACTGACGCTGGGTAAGAGACCGCCCTTGCCCCCACACGCTCCACCCCCAGAGAGCCTGGCGGAAGTGGCTTGCTCGGGAAAGACCGCGCGCCACCTGGCCGATCGCGCATGCGCCAGGGCCCGCGCTGCTAGTACTGCGGGTTTCTGTAGCGCTCCCTTCTTTGGTCTCCGCAACCCACGGCTGACAGAGTTCTGCTCACGCCATCTTGCGCCCCCACCCCCTCACCCCGCCCCAGCCGAGTCACCTTTTTCCTTTCTACACTCTCAGCACCCCTACCCCGCCCCTATCCATCCGTGTCCCGGGCCGCAGCAGCCGAAACCGCACCATCTCCACCCCCACATTCTCCACGCGGGACGCGCAGCCGTGCCTACAAGTGTTCTTAAAGCAGAGGTTGTTGGTGGCGTTGGGGGCGGGGCGGGCAGGGTCGAGGACGGGAATCGGGAGGGACACCGTGCGGCGAGTCCCGCGTCTCTGGGCCCCGGCCCTGCCCTGGACCCTGCCCGAGGGCGGCCGCAGCGGGGTAATATTGGCGTTTGCACTGGAGGGGTGAAAGGAAGACGGTCGTGAGAGGCGCTGGCCTGGCCCGGCGCCCCGGTTCTCCCGCGGGGTGTGGATTTGGCTCTTGACTCCTCCCCGTCGGCTGGTGGGCGTGGGACGAGGGGAGCTGGGCAGGCGAGCGGGAGCGGGGGTTGCTGGAGTGTGCTAAGTCCCTTCCGCGTGTCAGCTGGGTAGTGTTTGGGGGAAGAGTCCTTAAAGAAGGAAATTGTTGCTTTATGGGCAGAGGGTAGAAGAAGAGTTAAGTAGCGTTAATAAACTCTTTCTGAGTGAGTCCACATCTGTGACCCCCTAGGGTAATTGTTTAGCATGATTTTGGCTGAGTGTTCTGGTCTATAAAATGGGGATAGTAATAGTTTAGTTCAGAATTGTGAGGATTATATGAGGTAATACACGTTAAATGCTTACAACAGCGGCAGGCACAGTTACATGTTAACTGTAATTTTGGTCTTGTTTTAAGAAGTTCGGAATGACTGTGACTTTGTTTTCTAAATTAAAAATCAAGATTCTTGGTGTGACAAACGATAGTGTATTTATAGGGGCAGTGGAATGTAATACCCTGAGAGCGGATCCTGGACATGTGTTATTAACGTACACGTGGATAAATTAGCATAACTCCATGAGGCTGATAGAAACTTTCTTTAGAAATAGTGTATATTTACGGGAGAGGAGAGGATCTAGGGTCTTGTGTATATGTGAGGGGCAGAACTTTGTAAGTGCAATTAAGTTAGCTCTGCAAAGATTTACTTGAAGACTAAATTGAAGATAGAATTTGTAGAATTTTTGGTAGATGTTACAGAGTCTGGATTTGAATGTGAGGAGAAATTCCCTGCCAGTACTTTGCAAAAATAAAATACACTTTATTATGCTGTTGCAAGTTTCTTGTCTCAGAATATTCAAGCAAAGATCTAGAGCAGCCTAGGTCTAGAGCATGACTGTCCTATAGGACTCTGCCATGATAGAAATATTCTGTAATATGTGCTGTCCTAATATGATATCTACTAGACACAAGTGGCCCTTAAGCACTTGAGGTGTGGCTAGTGCACTGAGGAACTTAATTTTTAATTTTATTTTAATTAAATGTAAATAGCCACATGTGGCTAGTGGCTGCCTTATTGGACAGAATAGGTCAAAAATCTAAATTTTGAGACCCCCTACCACTTCTTGATTTGGTTGTTTTAAGTTCAAGGAGCCAACTCTTGAAGCATTCATTGCCTTAGGGAATCATAATTATATTCAAATAATGCCTTTCATTAAATCACTATAGTTCAAAGCGTGGGTCTGTTAGTAGTTATTTACAGCTTGACAAATTAAAACAAAATATTCTTTTGTCTCCTAGGTTGTACAGCTAATGCCAGATTCATTTGGAGAGCCATAACAGTACTAACTGGAGTTTCCTTTAATCATTACTGTATTGTGACCATGGGTTTCCTCTTTTATCACTTTGGTTAGTTTCAGCAAAAACTTCAGCTCTTTAAATCCTGAATTTTTTTTCCATTGAAAGATGCATTGGGCCGTCTTAGAAATTGTTTTGTTTTGTGGTTATGTGTATTCAGAACTTTTGAAGAGATAAGTTTGAAATTTGGTAATATTTTGCCAGATTACTTTCTTTGGAATATGTGGATCTGTTTCTTTTTCAAGCAAATGTTTATAATGTAAAATTTGAAAATAAAACTTAAAAAAAGCTTTATAGCCCTTAATTCTGGCCTGATAGCTGTAAAATGGTGACCTTGGTCTCAAGGCTGAAGATAATTGTTGGATCTGGAAAAAAAACTTAAAGCTTATGAATTAAGTATATGTGGAGAATGACCCATTATATACAAATAAAAGTGGGTTGCTCTTATGTAGGGTGACATACCCTACTTTTTCTGGGACTGTCATGGTTTTAGAGCCTGTTTGTTCCAGTATAATTATTAATAGAGCCCCTTTCACTATCAAAAATGTCCCAGTTGGAACCATATAATAATATGATCACCTTACTCTTAGGTTTTTTGAAATTCGTAATATGTAATTTTAGGAGGATTATCCATATTGCAATCATAGAAATGTACTTGCTTTTAAGTAGTGAAAAAATTCTTGCTTATGTGTTAAATAATAGATGAGATATCTGTAATAAGGCCAGCAAATGACTTGTTCATTTGAGCCAGGGTAATTGAGAAATTTTGCTTTTCTTTTTGTAATTGGATAGACATCTTGGGCAGCTTGATTTTTGGTCCTCTCTGAAAAAATGATCTTTTGGTGTAAGAGGCAGCAAGGAAAGTTAGGCCATGTCAATCAAATCAGAAGATTGAGTATTCTTGTTCAAAATAACACCCATTTTATTTTATGGTGAAGTCGAACGGTGAAATCAGACAAATTTGCTTATATATTAAAATGTTAAAATTTTGCTTATAGTTCATTTTAATAAGGAAAAATAATTCAGGCAAATACACTATTATATTAATTGAATTTATACTCTAGTAAATAAAATATTTTGAGAGTCAAACACACCTGGTTTGAGTCCTCACTTTGCTGAGGGTTAAATGAGGTAACCCATACAATGTGTTGGGCACAGCAAAGCACCTTAGAAGTATTCAGTAGATATTACCTGCTCTAGCCTTAAGGTTATTGAATAATGAATCTGGAAGATATATTAATGTTCTGTGATGCATTTTGAATAGGTGCAAAGAGCACTTAAAACTAATTCCGAAAACCTAGGTTTAGCCCTTTTCTGCCTTATTCTCTCTCTGTGATATCAGTTAAGGTATTTATTTTTCTGAGCCTCAGTTTCATCAGTAAAGTATTATTAGTACCTAACCTCATCCCGTCTCCTCACAGGATTGTTGGAGGCCTCAGATGAGAATTACGTAAATTGCTGTCTTGTTTGACAAACATTATTTAATTAGTTTTGTTTCAACTTGCCCTACATACCACCTCCAGTAAAGACTGACCTGAAATCTGCAATAATTGTTGTATGTTTTAATTTGTGAAACAACAAAAATAAAGTATAAGAGGCACCATTACCCAAAATTGTTCTTTTTGATACATAATACTATAAGTCACAATAATGGTGCTTTATTGATCTGGTTATAGTATATTTTCTATACAAAACAACTTTATACTACTGCTAAGAGAGAACCAACATTTTCATGAGTACTTGATGTGTTCTATCCATGTGCTAAATGCTGTATCTTATTTATTTATCCAACATATTGCCACTTAATAGGTTATTCTGATGAGGCTCTTACTTTCTGGAACTGATTGGTCAATTTTTGTTTTTGTTTTTGTTTTGTTTTGCATTATACTACTGCTTCTGATAACATCTAGCTGGTAGTTAATAGATATTGAAAGTTAAGGTAATGAATATGAAAATGGCATGCTAGGTGGCATATAATGTGTAGTAGTTGCTAAAAAATTGCTTTGTTCATTGAATTCATAGGGCAGTAAATTGGAATATATGTGAATATACTTTATAAATTGTAAAATGCTATACAAATATGACATTTTAAAGTCTTGAAGTATACTTTTGCTATTTTAAATGCTATACAGGTTTTATGACTGAATCCTGTGTATTTCACTTTATTCATTCATATTATTCGTTTTCAAATCTATCATTAAAAAACCACTCTTAATCATAACATTCTTTCTCTGAGAATATACATGTTTAATGATAATACTTTGTGGTGTTTTCAAGAAGCTATACTTTTGCTTGAATGATGATTCTTCTGATTCTTCATCATTGTCATGAACTGAGTGCTTTCCATATACCAGGCACTGTCCTAAGTGCTTTATATACATTACTTCATGTAACCTATGAAAGGAGTGTTTTGAATCTCTAAAGATGAGGGAACTGAGGCAGGGAGGTGATGTGACTTGCCCAAGGTCACATGGTAAGTGTTAGAACCTGTATTTGAACTCCAGAGCCCAGTTCTTTAGTGCTCAACTGGCATAGGCAGGTATTTCACAACAAAGTTTACTATGACAAACACATTGTGGAGGTCTTGTTTGTTAATTATGATCAACTTTTATTTGTATGTTCCTTGTGGGATAGTAGAAAGAACTCTGGACCAGGAGTCAGGGGACCTCAGTTTTAGTCCCAGCTGTATCACTAAATAGTGATGTGTCCTTGGGCAGTTCAAGAAACCCCTCTGGACTTCAGTTTCCTCACCTGAAAAATGAGGGATTTGGATGAAATTAGTGATTTAAAAAAACTGTAGTTCTGAACCTCAGATGTCTTTGGTCCCCCTCCCGCCAATTTGCATAGTTATACTTTTGTCTATTATAGCTGTTTTTCCATCTGCCTAAGATTTACTTTTAAGGAAAGAATTTCTGAACTTGCATTTAAAGTCATCAACCTGTAAGATAACTTAATGACAAGTCCCCTAACTTCTACATGTACAAGCTCTCAGTAATTACACATTATGTTAGTGTGTGAAAAGAGAAAGGCATCTTTTACAAATGAAAAAACTAAGGCACTAAAATGGGAGATGATTGGTGAATTTTTGTTAAAATGTGTATGTAGATGGACTGAATATTTCAGGTTATTATCTGCCTGAATCAAAGCCTGTCTTTTGTTAGATTTGTGACCTCCACCCAGTATTTTTCTGTTAGCTTCCTCAGTAGAGGGGAAATACTTGCCTGGTAGGGTGATTGTGAAAAACTATGAGCTAATATAGGTGAAAGACCCTATAAAAACTGAAGTGCTTATACAAATTTCTCTAAATTTTACCTACCTATATGAGAGTAAATCTCCCTTTTTTCTTTTTAGTCACATGAACTATATTTTTAACCACATCAGATATTTTATTGAATTGTTCATATTTAATACAGACTTCTTATAAGGTTTAATATTTCTACAATGTGAATCTAGCTTGGAAGAGAATCTTGATGTTTAAGAGATCTCCCTTTTTGACATTGTTGTCAAATACTTTCCTCTTACCCTTAGACGTATAACTGATTCCAGAATTTTGCATATATCTGAAAAGTTAGCCATTAAGTTATTCAATTATGTAATATTTTATGTAAAAACAAGAGTATTTCAGTATTGGGACAGTAAGCTTGCCATTTTATCCAGGTTTAGATGTTACATATTTTAGGATGATCTGGTAGCCACATTTGCGGTGTATTCTTTAAAAACCATTTTGCAAAGAATAATTTTTTTTTTTTAAACTCAGTACTTCCAGAAGAGAGTATTGGATATGAAAACACATGAACTAGAAACTGACATTAATGTGAGACTAAAGAAGAGAAATAGAATAGAACTTCCTGTGTCTCTGAGTAATCTGTCACTGAGCTTTTATGTCTGTAGGTTAAAAAAAATTGGTCATGTAGCCAACTGGGATATCTAAACACAGTTTATATGTCTGTCTATCTATTGGGAATTTAATAGTTTACAGGTGGTATTCAGATATATTTTTTGAGTGCCCATGATGTGGTTGCTACTGCATTTTTTTATAACGCCCCTCTGAGATAGGCAGAAATTGACGGGTGGAGAAACTGAACTTGAAAGATTGGTTGATCCTTATTTCCAGATTCTACTATATTGATTAATTATCCTTATTAACAAAAACACTATGACCATGACTTTTATTTCATTTTTCTGCCTTATAACATCTGTCACAAAACTTCTGCAGGATTTTATCTCCAGTTAAATGTTTAATAGTTGTCTCATGGCCTAAAGTGAATTCCTTTTTTTTTTCTTTCCAGTCTTTCCAATTTCAGTAAATCATACCACCATTCAACTAGTTGCTCAGACCCCAAACTTTGATCATCCTTGATTGCTCTTCACTTAGACTCCATATCTAATTGATCAGCACGTCAGCTCTGCCTTCAAAACATATTCCAGAAATATGACCACTTCTCACCATCTCTGCTTGTTTCACTAATTCAAGCCACTGTCATCTCTTGTCTACATAACTTTCTAACTGGTCTCCTTGCCTGTACCATTGCTTCCTTAGTATAGTATATTATTATAGTATATTCTCATAGCAGCTGAAGTTACATTTTTAAAACCTAAAACATTTCAAGTCACTTTGGGCTTTGTTGTGATCTTATATTAAATGTCACTTCCTGGTTGAAAACTTGTTTTCATAGCATTTATCACGACCTCAAATTATATTTATTTGCTTTTTCTCTTGCATTATAATGTATCTCTTTTTGTCTAGTTTAGTCCTGTATACCTAGCTCTTAGAACTGTATTTAGCCTGCATTAGGTACCCAATGAATAGTTATAAATGATTAAGCCAATAAATGAATAAGCTTTAAATAATAGAGTGCCTTTGTTGTAAGAGGAGGGAATCAAAAGTAGATACATTGGCTTTGGTACAGGAGAGTAGAGGGAGTTACTAAATAAAGGCTTTTTATTTCTCTGAAGTAGGGGATGTAGTCATCTGCCAATAGTTGGGGGAGAGATTGGGGGCAGCAGTTTATTAATAAATAATTACTATGCACTAAAATATTTATTGTTAAAACAAAAGAATTGGTAAACTGAAACAATTTAGATGTCAGAGAAAGGGGAATTCCTGATGGTCGTGTGTTTGGGAAGGCTTCTTGGTGGTATACTGAGTTTAGGTCAGGCTTTTTCAGGCTTTTCTAGACCACTAGGATTTGGATAGTTGGAGCAGTAACAAGGTATTGCAAGCAGGAAGAACTTAAAGGTTCAAAAAAACTTGGAATGGATACTGAATGATTGATTTAACTACTGCTATAGAGGCTGGAGAGGTCCAGTGAGACAAGTATTGTCCTCCAGGCAAAGGAGAGCCATTGGAGATTTGTGGGTAGAGGAGTAACTCTGGAGTAATATACAGAATTAATTGGAAAGATGGGAGATGGTTTTAAAAGACATTGTGGTAAAGGTATTGATTATGGTGAGATTGGAAAGGAAGGGATTGATTTAGAATTGGTTTTTTATTAATAAGAAAAAAAAAAATAATGCCAGAAACTTGCATATAGACAGAGAAGCAAAAAAAGCCTTGGAGTTTTTGACCTTATTTGCCTGAAGACTGGTGTTGCTCTTATAAAACTAGGATGTTAGACAAGGAAGCAGGTGTGATGAGGAAAATAAATCAGGCAATAATATCACATATTTCAGGTAAGAATTTCTCTGTGAATATGAAGTCTTTGGTAATTGTATTAAAGTGGTGCTTCTCTACTTATAGTATACCTAATAACTTGCCATTTTGATTATTAGGTGTTCCTTATCATTATTTATAGCTTCTTACCCATATTAATTAGAATCAGTATGATTTGGGTTAGGAAGTACGTTTTCCTGTTCTAGCAGTTGTTAAGGAAAATAATTGCTTAATGAATGGTAAGGCAGAAGATTTCCTGAGATCATGTATTGATGTTTATGGTGCTTCATAATTTTCAAAGTACTTTCACTTCTGTACTTATTTTATTTAATTGTATTCCAGTGAAATGTGGGTGGTTTCGATTTGCTATTCACTTTGTTTTTTTTTTTTTTTTTTACTGCAGTTAAATTTGGTTTATTTTTAGATTGTAACAAGTGTTAAATCTCAGTACAATTTTTCCATAATAATCGACTGGGCCTGATGTCCCTCCTGTCGTCTCATAGTATCTTGTGCATTATTTCTAAGCTCATTTCATTGGGTATATCTGTTAACTTCAGTAGGCTATAAGACACTAAATAGCAGGGATGTATTTTTCTTATCTTTGTAATCATTATACCATTCAGTCATTTTTTCATTCACTCACCATTTACTAAACATCAGCCATGTCAGGCAGTATATTAGGTATTGAAACTGTCCCAGTTTTTAAGCAGTGAGCAGTTTGAAGGTGAGGAAGTAGTTACACTAAAGTGTGAGAAGTGCTGTGATAGATACATCTTATTTCAGGATCTGAACTCATTTGATGTATGGTAGGTGAATACAAATGATTTTTTAGTTATGAAAATACAAGTAGCAGTTTCGAAAAAATTGCTATTGATTTTAAAATAGTTATAAATTATATGTGAATCATCTGTTATTTGGATTAGTCATGTTACTTCTCTTTTAGCAGATAATTGAATGGACACTTGAATACTGTACTTTCCAAAGTCCACTTGAAATGGGGCTTATATAAATATATTGGAATTACCATTCTGTTATCTGAAACACTAGGTATAGAAGTTTTAAAATTTTCTACATTTTAATTATTTTTTGCATTCTCAGTGATTGAGTGATCATTTGGTATTATTTTTTACAGCAAGAGAAATTTAGACGATGATATAATTTGAATTGTTTTTTTTTTTTTTTTTTTAACAAAAACTAAAATGCAATGTATAATAGTGTTGGCTTAACCATAATTGCTTCTTGCCCTTGGAGTTCCATGAAAATGAAAATGTTCTGAGTATAACCATTTTCTGATTATATTATGTGGGATGTTCAGGTTATGAATGATTGGAATTGAGACTCTGGAGATGCACAGAATCAGTAAATAGGTGTGCTGAATTGATTTTCCTCAAAAACTAAAATGCAATGTATAATAGTGTTGGCTTAACCATAATTGCTTCTTGCCCTTGGAGTTCCATGAAAATGAAAATGTTCTGAGTATAACCATTTTCTGTTTATATTATGTGGGATGTTCAGGTTATGAATGATTGGAATTGAGACTCTGGAGATGCACAGAATCAGTAAATAGGTGTGCTGAATTGATTTTCCTCAGCAGTGATACAGTAGAAGTAACAATAAAAAATTTCTCTATCTTTTAATAAATGGGCAGACTAATGGATTTTGTAATCCAGATTTTGATGTGAAGGTTCTGTAACTAGTAATGCATTTATCAACTCGAGGTATTTTAAGCTAAAAGTGTTTCATGGTATTTATTCTTTGGTCATTTGGTCACTAAAAAACATGAGCTGTAAATAGAAACCCAGTAACATGTTCATTACATTTTTGTTTAATTCACATGTGTGATATATAATTTTACTATAGTTAAAAAATTTATTCTGTTGGTAATATTTTCAGAGGAAAGGAGTATATCCTTAACTCATTATTTTAAATTAAAAGGTGTCAATTTTTTTCTGCTCTGGAACAGGATTTTACAGGTGTGACATAGCATTGGCTATTGGCTTAATGATCAGGTTTAAATATAAGTATTAATCAGAGATGAACTTATTCCTTAGGTTCACATTTAAACTGTGGCATGTTGAAATAATCTACGTCTCCATCTGCACATCTGCATTCATTTTGTAAAATATGGCAAACAGCTGCATTTCAATTGAAAGCTGAAACAACTGTAGGACATTAACCCATTGAGAAGATTACAGTAGGTTTTCAGTTCCACGTTAACTGTATTTATTAGAGAAAATTGACTTGAGTGCTTCTGCTTTTAACCAACTTTTTTTTTAATGTCTGGGAGAAAGGAAATAAAGCATTGGAATGATAGGACTTTGATGTGTAAAGAAGTTAATGTCTAAAGAAGTTAATTATCTAAATCATCAAACAAAATATGGGTATGGGAAATAATTATTTTAAAGATTCCAATGAGCTATCAACTCATCATGTCAAGAAAAATGTTATTCACCTGTTTGATTTAAAAATTAAATAACTTGACTGTGAAAGGATGATCATGATTATAATAAACTAGGATTGGAACCTTTTACCTCTTACCAATAAATACCCTTGATGTGAAACATTTGCAGTCAGAGGACAACTGAAGAAAGCTGTGGTTTTAATAGGAATTTACTTTCTGAAATGTTTCCTCTTCAGAGAATGTTAGAGCAGGGTGAATGGATTTGCAAAATGTAGAAGGGGAAGATTGCTGTAGCAATGTCTCAGAACATTTAGCCACGGGATAATCCCACAGAATGACATGTCTTCAAATCTAACATGAGTGAATTTGAATCATAACTTTTTTGAGGCTGGAGTTAGTACATAATCTTTGAGTTTAACGTTTTCTCCAGGATATCATATCTATGTCAATCTTCTGTTGGAACAACAAGGGAAACATTTTCTAAAGTCCTTGAGAAAGCCAGGTTCCTTTTTTTTGGTCACTTTGATTTCCTCTCTCTTTTCCCCCAGTCTTGGACTGGTGATGTGATTATTGTTTTTCAAGCTGAGTTCTAAATGGCGATGCTTCTTTTCCTATATTATTTGTAGAAATTACTTATTCCAAGTCTTTGTGAAAAAATAGGACAAATTTAGGCCTTAAAAAAGCTGGTGGTCTTTCATAGCATTAGCCTTATGCATTTTAGAATTTTGGTTTTCAGGCTCAGTTTGAGGGAAGCTTTTTTCCTTCTCTTTCTCTACTCCAGCATTCTCTGTTTGATGGTTTCGGCCTGGCCCTTAGGGCCTAGGACTTACGTTGGTAGAGTCGGTCCTGCCGAAGAAGGATATTGGGACACTTCCAGTCTAGCCAGCTAGTGCCCTCGTTTAGAACTCTGTCCTGTTGCCTTCTCAAAAGCTTCCTATTTGGCCTATCTTAGGCAGTGGTTTGTAGGAGGTTTTTTTTTCTTCTTCTTCTTCTTCTTCTTCCAGTTGCCTCTCACGGGGCCTAGCCCTACCATCCCACCTCTTGGTGAGTGGTCCTGGTTCAGGTTTCCTTTATCAATTTTAGCCAACATTGCCCATAGGAGTGGGTCAGATTAGCGGATGTATTAAGAAGATAAATTTGTCAGCAATGTGGAGAATGAACTGAGATGGAAAGAGAAGCTAAAAATAGAGCTCATAGCGGGCCATAGTAGTAGAAAAAGAGAGGGAGGATGTAAGAACGTAGAGTAGAATTTATTTGGCTTCCTACAGATTATAGGGTGCAGGAGAAGGAGTCAAAGGTAATGACTGAGATTTTGAGCTGGGTTGATTAGTAGCAGTAGTGATGTCATTAGTGAAAACTAAACTTATTTTATAAAGAAACTACTTAATATTTGTTGAATTGCATTAAGGTCTTTTAGTGAAAATATTCAAGTTTCTTAAACCTTTGTGATTATGAAATAAGGGTAATCTAAATTTGTCATATAAAAACTTTTAGCAGATCAAGAAAGAATTTTTAAGATCATTCTGTTTATAATAGCTAACATTGTGAGTTTAGAACTGTTCTGACCACATTAATTTATTTAATCCTCACAACAACCCTAAGAGGATGAAATTATCATTCCCATTTTACATATGAGGAAAATAGAGCACAGAGAAATTAATTTGCTCAAAGTACTAGTGAAGTAGCTGGAATTCAAACCTAGGCAGTCTTGATTCCAGACTCCTCCTAATTAACTGTCCTTAAAGTTCTCAATACTGGTTTATTATTTGTTCCAAATTTGTTAATTCTTCTTTAGAATCTGCAAAATGTTTTTATTTTAAGGCAGGTTATAGTATTGCAAAGTTTATATGACCATGAATTAATAGCTAACATTTGTTGAGTACTTACTATGTAATTGAGACTTTTATCTACTTTCATTACTTTAATGTTATTTTTACTAATTCTTGTTTACGGGGCTGCCACATACATTAGATAAAACTGGATATGTTAGGATTGGCATCTAGTTTTTTCGTTATGTGTCAGCTTAATTTTATTGGGGAAAAAGTCACATAATTTAAAATTGACGAGTCACTTAACCATATCACAGTGCTTACTTCTGATCTACTGACTGGTTTTATTTGTATTACTTGTATTTTAGGCTTTGGTTCAAATGGGAATTGGCTTATGTTGTGGTTTTCTAATTTTGTGTCTTACAACTGTGCAACTCTTTCTTTAAATGAAATCTCACTTGGAACCCCAATGTATAAAATAAAAAAAAAAAAATCAGTTGTGGTGTTCTAGTCATAACTGGTGAGGTATGTGTTTGAAGGGTACTAGGACCGCCCTGAAATATTGCCAGTGAATCTTAGGGCTTCCTGGAACATTTTGAAAACCAGTGAGCTCTATTAAAATAGTGTAATAAGTATTTTTTTCATTACTTATTATGAAATATGTACTGAAATATTTTATCACTCAAGTAATTTTTTGATGTACTTGACTAAGCAGTTTTTTCCTACCTTACTATTTTATTTTAATAAAGAACATTAACTATGAAAAAATCCGGTTTATACGAAACATCAGAAATTTAAAATTTTCTATACTTTGAAGTCATTTAGAATTACTTTTGGTTTTCATGCATTTATTTATAGTTAAACATGTTTTGTAATTGTTATTATTTTTTTTTTCTATTTAGATGAATAATACTGCATCCAGCCCAATGTCTGTTGCCACTTCTAGTGGTGGAAGAAGTACGGGGAAGTCTATAAGCTTTGCAGCAGAATTACAGAGTATGATGTAAGTATGTCTCTGCATCTTACTTATTGCTGTGTTAAGTTCATTCATGTTGATAAAAGGTAACAAATAACAAAATTTGTAAACTTAACTGGGAAATTTGTACTTAAGTAAAAATGAAATTGTGTGATAACATTTTAAATAGGCATATGCTGAAGAGGCAAAATAAGTTAAGAATGCTACAGTGGTACTATATTAGAAAAGTAAGTATTGGTTCATCTTTATAAAAGAATGAACAATTATATAAACCTTTTTGCTCTGTTATGAATTATTACTATTTTAGTTTTAGATTTAGAAAATTTAGATGATTATATTTTGGGATAGTTGAAATGTTTTCACACAGTTTTCATTTTTTCTCAGATGTCACAATAATTTTATTAGCCTAATATAATTTATTTTTGACAATATTTGAAATCATGATTTCAGGACATTGAGAAAAAACTTAGAACATTTAAAAAACACATTTATTCAGGTTTTGAGAAATTTCATAGTCTTTAACATTTTCTTCCTAAGGCTCTTTTCAGCTTGATTTCTCCCTTTCATTGAGTCATATCTTGATTTAATGTGAAATAGCTTATTTATAGACATGTCTGCTGGCACATATTAGTTTTTCTTTATTATTGGTTCAGGAAACAGTTATCTGCATAAGGGGACAACACATTAGAGTTCTTTTCCTATAAATGCATTATTCCTAACATACCCGACAATTTTCAAATAATGTTTCTTTTGAAGATTTAAGTGTCTTCCTCCTGTGGTATGGATTGATAGCTTTCATAGTGGATTAACTCCACTGTGTGTTATTTATTGTTCAAAGGAAAAATGAGTTTGAGCATATGTTTAATATTTGCTTGGTGAACATGCTTTAAACAACAGTGAAAACATTTAGGTCATAGGTTTTCAAACTTTCTGGTCTCCAGATCCCTTTATATTATTAATTATTGAAGACCTTGAGCAGTGTTTGTTTATGTGGATTATATCTATTACTATTTATTGCTTAGAGTTTAAAACTGAGAAATAAAAAATTATTAATTTGAAAAAATAAATCTATTATATGTTAACATAAATAATATATGCCTATAAAATAATTATATTCTAAAACGAAAAGTTGGAAACATGTTTTGTTAGATAAGATGAGAATAAAATAAATGTATTAATTTGAGAGTTGTTTGAGGTGAGCCTGTGTTTTAAATTATGGAAAATTTGAAGAGTTTATGCTTTTGTATACACTTTTAGTATATACAATTTATTAGTTTAAGTTTTGTCATTTTAGCTTAATAGCTTTTTGTTAATAATCTTTTATGTTGTACTATTATGTTTAAAAACATTAAACGTGTTTGAGAAGGTTTATAGTAAAGTGAGGAAATTTGCTTTCTTGGAGAATGAGTTCACTGATTTAGTTCATATTTTAAAACATCACATTATATATAACATATATATAAAATAGAGAATAGTATAATAAACCCTATGCATCCATCATCTGGCTTCAACAATAATTGTGTTTCTCAGGCTTATGTAACCTTCCCCCCTACCCTTTACTTTTTTTAATGCAATATTTTAAAGCAGATCCGGACATCATATTTCAGATTTGGTGGTATTAAAGCAATATATTTTTTTGGTAGGTAAAAAATATGCTCTACAACAGTGGTAAACAAAATATGTCCATGGGCCCATGGACTGGCTGCCTGTTTTTGAAAATAAAGTTTTATTGGACTACAGCCATACTCATTCATTTATCTATCATCTATCTCTGCTTTCATGCTACATAGCAGAGTTGAGTATTTGTGAGAGAGACCATATGGCCTGTAAAGCTGAAAATATTTACTATATGGCTCTTTACAGAAAAAGTTTGATGATCCCTGATTTATAGAAACAACTCTCTATAAGAAGAATGCTGTATTTCCTTTTTTTGTTGTTTCAATAACGGACTTTATTTATTTATTTATTTTTGTTGATTTATTTATTTTTTAATTTATTTTTTTAATGGTGACACTGGTTAATGAAATCCAATATGTTTCAGCCGTACACTTTAACAGTAAGGCATATATATTTACACTGTGTGTTCACCTCTCATGGTTAGATTTCTTTCAGTATTTCCTTTTGTCACTTATTCTTAGGAGAGAATCTACTTAGTGCATGTGATAGACTGCAGGCCACTTAAGAAAACTGAGAAAAAAAATAAAAGCTACATTTAGCACTTTCATATTAAATACTTTTGCAAACATCTTCCCAACTAATGTGCTTAAGCTGGATTCAGAATGCAAAAGTTATTGTTGGCTGTAGCTTTGGAAGAAATATACATTTTCATTCTATTTCAGACCTCATAGAGAGGCCACTCCTAATAGTTACATTCATCATTTATAGTCTGAAGTGTTTTCTTCTTATGAATTGATTCATAGAGCAAAAATAGAGGGCCAAAATTAGGGGAATACTTTTTAATTTACCAATATTTTCTATTGCTATAAGGTTTTCAGACTTTTGTTATTTAAAATTAGTACCAATATACATTTAATCCTTGCTTATGTGATTTAAAATGAGAAAGTGCAGACTTAAGTCTTTATGTTGTAGGAATTTAATTTTGTGAATCCCTACCTTCTTTTTTTCTGCAGTTTCCCAGTTATTCTAAGCCTGTACTCTTTTTTAATCCTCTACTCCTACTGTCTTCCCCACCCATTTACCACTAATGACCTGTTTTTCTGTTGGGTCCCAGTCCTCTAACTAGGTAACAATATCGTAGTGTCATTTCCAGGGAATGGTTTCAGGTACACAGTTGTCAAACACAAATGAAATTGTCATGATCTTGATAAAATTGACCATATTTTTAATTTGGTGGTAAATACTGCCAGTATTCTTTAGGAAGTGCTTCTACAGATTTTAAGTTAAAGGATTAGCAGTCAAACAATTGCTAGTGGGGTAGAAGATGACAGCATTTTTCCCTTAGGCTTACAATCGAGCACATTTGCCATATGCTACGTATCATAGCTCTTTGGATAATGTACGCTGGAAGGGTCCAGAGGCTTTTCATTTTTATCAAGTAGCTTGTAAATTCGAAAGTGAATTTTTTTCGATTCGCATGGTAGGTCTTTTAAGAAACTTCTTAAGAAGTTTAATTTAAATGTACTTCAATAAGTCTTCATTGGGCTCTCCCTTGTTTATATATTTATATATTTCTTGACACGTATTGTTATTTTTCAGGTTTATAGACCTGGCGATGAGGCCAAGTTTCAGTGCTTGGTAACATTTAGTAATTCTCATGTGATGAAATTTAAAAAAAAAGGATTTCGTTTACATGTTACTTATATTTTATAAGAATTCATCCAAATGAAAATTTTATCATTTAAAATCTACAGATTTGAAAAATAACTTTTTAAAATTAGTTTTCATCATATACAATAAAATATGCTCTTTTAATTGTAAAGTTCTGCAAGTTTTTCATTTTTTAAAATCTACATTTATTGAGCCCTTTATATGGCAGAACCTAAATGCCTTCAAGGTAGTCTAGCGGTAGAGAGGGGTCATTGAGACAAATAATTGTCATGTGAGAGAATGTGACAAATTCCATGGTAGTACAGAGGAGGAGGAAGTAGTGAACTTCTGAGGATAAGCTTCCTAACTTCTGATCACTTCTTGAAATGTCCATTAAGTATTCTATGAACACCTCAAAGTTAGTATGCCTAAAACTGAACTGATAATTTTCTCAATAAGATGTGCTTCTTCTCTTGAGAGTTTTTGGGATAAATAGCAACAACCATTTATTTATTGCTGCACTAGACTAGGGCATAGTTGTGTATATGAAATGGTATCATTTGGCTTTTATTTAGCATTTTGAAGTTACGAGCTGAGAAAGAATATGTTCCCAGTTCTATCCTTACCTTGATCTGACTTTAAAGAGACCTAATATGTAAAATATGAATTAGTAATATATGTTTACTAAACTGACATAGAATTTTTTCAAATATTGAGTTTCCATAGCCCATTTAAGTTTTTCAGGAAACTGGAGGAAAGAGAAATTCTTAAAGGTAACAAGTGCTAACATTAATACACTATAATTTCAGAGATGCCTTAGTAATACCAATGATAATAGTGAATGCTTGTGTAGAGCATAATGTGCACCAGTCACTCTCCTGAGTATTTCCATATACCATTTCTTTTAATCCTAATACAACCCTATAAGGTAGAATCTGTTATTCCCATTTTATGGATGAGGAAATTGAGATACAAAGGTCAACAACGCACCAAAAGTTGCCATTATAGTAATTGGCAATACCTGGATTTAGACCAGGAAGTCTAACTGCAGAGCCCATACTTTTGACTATTATGTTAAACTACATTTCAATTAATAAAACTTTTTTTTTAATTTATAAAATCTAGTGAATAAATGAACTTTTACCAGTTTATGTGTGACTAGTGTACTATAATGAAGTAATAATGTGAAAGTTTAATAATTGTTTAGTTAATTACTGTTACTAGTAATGAAGTCTAATTTTTATGAAAAGTATTGGATTAAGTTGTTATTTTTATATTATCATAGCATTTATTTCAATTTCCTATACCAGATCTTTTTAATCAAAGCCATATCAGTAACTAAGAGAAAGTATAATTTTTCATAGAAATAATGTACTTTATACTCCTTATTGGATGCTCATATTTATGACATTTCATAATTTTGGATGTAAATATGGCTACATTGTTATTTAATATTTAAATGCTTGTCCTACTTTTATATTTTATCAGAAATAATATTTTAATTCCTGGTGTTTAAATTACATTAAAATATGTAGATAAACTTATCATTGTACTTTTTGGGAAATGCATTTATTTGGAATATTTTAAGACATACAGTGGTTTATAAACATAACAAGAATAAGGGAGATTATCAGATTATAATAATAAATTGATCACAATGTCCTGACATTGAGAAAATGTGTCAAAGCTGATTGACACAGAGCTGTCATTCTAAAATTGCATTGTTGTTGCAAATTATCACACTAGACAATGGGAATACC